TGACCGGTCATCAATGGGGGTGTTTGGGGGTGTTTCCTCCCATCAAGGACCGGTCAATACCGGTCCTTGATGGGAGTGTGTCCTCCATTGATGACCGGTCAAAACCGGTCATCGATGGGGTTGTTTATTCCCATCAAGGTCCAAACCGGCCCTTGATGGAAGGCTTACCCCATCAAGGACTGGTTGAAATCAGTCCTTGATGGGGGTGTTTATCATCCATGGGAGATGTACTCCCAGTCCCATGGATGACTGGGTGTATTGATGGGGCGTGTAGAGTCCAAGGGGTTGAGACGAGGTCACAAACCCCTTGGATACATGGCTAATTTGGCGGATCAGTGCCATGTTTGGTGGTCCAGGAGCAATCATGTCGGTTCAGGAGCATGGGTGGCCAATTTGGCGGTTAGATTCAATTTTCACTTTGGCCATTCTGGCGGTTCAGGGCCGTCATTTGGCGGTTATTTGGCCAAAGTGGCGGTTCATCCCCATGTTTTCATTTTTTTTGGCCAAAATGGCTGTTCAGTACCTCCATACAAACCTGCCATAGACTCCAGTTTTTTTTTTTTTTTTTTTTTTTTTTTTTTTTTTTTTCAACAAGATCAGTAATATATATACATGCTTATTCAATTGACCTTGTTTTGAAGACGATCTGCACCATAAATAAAGGGAACAAGTGAAGACAGAATCACAAACAAACAAACAAAAAAAATGTTACCCCAAGAAGAAGACTAAAAAAGATCTACGGATAGTCAGCGAGGAAGTATTTCTCCGGTTTAATAGAGATTGAGAGGCAGATGTGATAGTGGATCACGAGACAGGGGAGCGCCGACCAGAGGAGGGTTCGAACGAGTTTCTGGGTCCAGCAGCGAGCCGGGCTCATGAGCAGGACTGTGCAGCTCGTAGCTCGGCCACGAGTATCGAGAGAGAGAGGCGAAGATCTGTCGGGGGTCATGGATGTCTGGAACATCGCCATTCTCGTGCCGACCAGGTCCTTCCTGCCCTCCTCGCTCGAAGATCGCGTGCTCCGGTGGACCGTCCTTCCGCTGAGACTGTCCCACATTCGGAATGAAGCCCCAGATCAGATCCGTCTCTCCCATCTGATTCGTGCACCCATGAGAGCGAGCGTCCTGAGCGCAAGCTCCACCGGAGTGATCACTCTGAGACGACGCGTGGATCAAGGGGCCCACTACGGGACCGGCCAAGGATCGATCATAGAGCTGGCTTAACTCGGTTATAAACGAGTCACTATCGGGCGTCTTGGAGTTGGTCGGCTGCTTGTAGCCATATTCGACGCGGTTGAATCTGGGCTGACAGATCCTGGCGGGATCGTGATTGGGACTCGCAGCTGGATGATCGGGCGATTCGAGGAGACTGTATAGCCAGACAGGCTCGAGGATGGACGTCGGCGGGGTATATTGGTCTGCACCAGGGGTGTCGATGAATCCCACCGAGCAGGGAGACTCGCTTCCAGCTGACAGCCGCACGCCGGCCATCTGGGCCCCACCGCCACAGCCGTCCACCGGCGAGCTATCCTCGCCTCGGCCGCCATGTATAACCGTCGTCGTCGGTGGGTGTCCAGTTGACGACTGATTCCCACTACTGAGGCCGACGTGGTTCCGTTGGACATGCTTAGTCAAAGTAGTCCTACGACAAAAACTGTCCGGAAGGAATTCAACGAAATCGATCGGGTGTGTTTAATTCTTCTGGTTTTCTGCGCAAATTACAACCGGATGGAAAACTGATGGGATCGAGGCGGGAGAGAGTTTACGGACCTCTTGGAGCATCCTTCGATCGTACATCGGTACGGTCGGTTGCCCGTGTGGACTCGTTTGTGTCGCGCCAATGAGGACGAATCGGAGAAGGCCTTCTGACATCCATCTGTTTGACACACATGCGGGCGCTCACCCGTGCTGTTAATCATCATAAGACCATCAAAATCCTTTCCCTTTTATTTTGTGTCTACTCCTTTCTAACTTCAAGTGGGGTTGAGAGGATTGGACTTACTGGACCCGGAAGTGGACGGTCAATGCGCTGCGTTGGATGAACGCCTTTCCACACTGTTGACATTGGAACGGTCTAACAGACACACACACACATATATATCATGGCCAAAGGAAAATCCAACGAGAAGACTTGAGTTTGATCGTCGTGTTTTTTTTTTTTTTTTTGTTGAGGATAGTATGTACAAAATGAGCAGCAAAAAAAAGAAGCGCAGACCTTTCGTTATTGTGGATCCGTTCGTGTCTGATCAGATCCGATCTTCTCGCGAACGCCTTCCGACACGACACGGGATCATAGCCACACTCAAACCGGCGTCGGTCCTGGGGGGCTCTGATCTGCGCCTGATCAACAAGCCCTAGAATATCCATACGAGCAGCCTATGAGCTGTGTTCTCAGGTTTTTTAGGGGGGGGGACGCTCGGGGAGGATGTGATTTTGTCCTCTTTGTTTTTAATTCGTGGATAGATGATGTATAAGCAGTGTTTCCTTCAGTGTTGAGTTGAAGGGGTATCTTTGGGGCAGATGGACGAGAGGACTGCGAGAGGAAAGTAGAATGAAGCTGGTGTTCTCTTTGACTTGATGATTATGTTTTTTATATCATTGTGGGTTGGAGAGAGAGAGAGAAGTGTTGAGTTTGCAGAGTGAATAATTAGGAATAAATCCGACCCAGCAGTTGGGTGAGCATGAGTGGAGGCTTATCAGTTGGGCTGTTTTTTTCAATGGGCTTTTGATTTCTGATCAGAAAAGAAGGAAATGATTCTTGGCGGTGGAGTGCCGATGGGCTCTTCTCAAAGGGACGCATGATGAAGGCCGTTGGATCAAAGGACATGGGTTTGTATTCTGATCGGGAGTACAAATTCAATTCATGGTCAACTCAAGAGAGAACCGCGGAGATAAAGTATTACAAGCTTGCTTTGCTTTCGGCCGTGCAGCCATCATGAAGACTCTGCAGCTGAATTGGATCTCTCAAAGGGAGAGCCGATCATATTCATCACTCAAAGGGAGGTGAAGCTTGTCGAAGCTTAATGATCTTTCGATTGTAAATTCAAGCATTAATCAGATCCAGCAAGCAATGGGTTGTCTTGGCCCGTGAAGAGGTACTAGAGAAGGATTGCTGTTTCGGCCGATGATGAGTAAATATGTTGTACCGTTTAATCATTAATGGCAAGCCGATCCGGACCGATCCCGGAGCTGATAGGAAGAAGTCCTTGGGGATACATTCAGCTAAATACAATAGGGCGAGTCTTCGTTATTCTTCAAGGTGCTGTGAAGTGGGGTGTGTGGTAATTTATAAGCAAGTCGACCATCATAGGAGCCTGCTGTTGACCACTTCCCTCAAAAAAACAAACCACAACATGAACACACTCAACCACCACTACCATCGACTACTACCCAGAACTCAACCACGACTACTACAACTACACTCATCAGCAGCAGCAGCAGCAGCAGCTCACTACTCCCAAAAGAACACCACAACCACCACCACCACCACCACCACCAACAACAACAGCAGCAACAGCCAACCAGAGACAACCACCATAAACAACCAAACTAACAACAGAGGCTATGTCACCCAATCTAAGAGCTCACTAGCCAAGATCCTCAACGGACCAGTCCATCCACTCACACCACCCGAACCACCACCACTACCTCCAAATAACAACAGCAACCACTATCAACACCACAAACCCATCAAGCAAACCATCCCGATCAAGAAACCAACAACAACAACTCAAGATCCTGCTGAGCCACCACCATTCACGATCAAACACGACTTCCAACGCAAACTTTTGAAGATCAACTCCAAACCGTTTGGGATCACTAACCTCACCATCCCCTATCTCTGGCTCAGAGATTCGTGTCAGGAACCACACTCAGTCGATCCCCGTACCAAACAGAAATTGTTCAAGACTTCCGACATCCCCTTGGACATCCATCCCATCAAAACTACTATCACCCATCATCCCAGCGCCGGCCCTCAACTGACCATCCAATGGTCCCATTCTCTTGATCATCAGAATCAGAAATCCGCTCAATCCACTACCTTCGATCTCGCCTTCCTCAACCATCTCGATCAGCCCCATCAATGGCAAAACCAGCGACACAAAACTCAGCTCTTGAAGCCTACCCTATGGTACTCCAAAAAACCATCGCCTGCTCCCTCTTCTTCTACTTCTTACCTCGATTTCACTCATCATAAGAAGAATCATAACAAGAAGATCAATCTCTTCCTGGATCAGTTCCCTGATCAAGACCAACTCTTCGTGGATTATCAAGAGTTTAAAACGGATGTCAAGCTCCAGAAGGTCGCGTTAGAACGACTGAATTCGTTAGGATTGGTGTTCTTTAAGAATTTGAATCAGCAGTCTCTTCAAACTAAAGATTACAATGATCAATTCGAATTGGAGCGGTTGATCAAGACCTTTGGGATCGACATCCGACGCACTTTTTATGGCGATCTGTGGGACGTCATCAGTCGCGATCAAGAGGCTACAAATGTGGCTAATACTAGTCTAGCCTTGGACTATCACATGGACTTACTGTGCGCATTTTTCATTAATTTATCACTAGGATTGGTCGAGAGGAGGGATGATTGATTGATGAGATGATCAATTGGTATGCAGACATTTTGAGAATCCGCCGCGATTCCAATTCCTCCATTGTTTGAAGAACGAAGTGGAGGGTGGCCGGTCATCGTTCCTGGATTCGTATTCGGCGGTGCAAGAGTTACTGGTGCGGGATCCGGAGAGTTTCCGGGTTCTGACGAGGGAGCTGATTGGGTTTGAGTACAAGAACGCGAAGCACGAGACGTTCTATGGCCATCCGACGATCGAGCTGAAGCCGCAGACCTCGCTCGACCGCCTGCTCCGTCGGCCCCACGAGCTGCTCGACCATCTCCTCGCCGTCAACTATTCGCCCCCCTTCCAGGCCCCCTTCCCTCTCCTCCTCAACGGCCCTGACTCGATCGATCAGCTCTTCAAGAGCTTGCGCGCGTTCGTAGATCTCTTCGATCAGCGTAAGTTTGGACTCGATGTCCAGTTGCAACCCGGCCAAGCTGTCGGCTTCGATAATCGCAGGATCCTCCATGCTCGTACCGCTTTTCATCCAACTCCTTCCCCCAATAATCGGACCTCCTCGACCGACTCTTCCCCCTCTGTTCATCGATGGCTCAAAGGGTTCGTCGGCTCTTTGTCTCTCTCTTTCATCCCAGGGAAAAAAAAAAAATATTCTTACTCACAATAATCTTGTTGCTCTTTGAAGTGCTTATGTTGATGGCGATTCGGTCTGGGATAGAATCCGGGTCTTGAACTCTTGATCAGGTTGGGTTGGCATCTCTCTCTTGACCTATCATTGCTTTCGTTTTTGTTTCCCATCAATATTCTCGTCATCGATCTATCTCTTCAGTCGTCTTCGTCTTCTTCTTTTTGTAAAAAAAAAACAAATTTGCTCGACTCTTCTTTTCCCTAGACTGGACTGGATCGTCATCATCTTCATCAACTTATATTTTCGTCCTTTTGTTTTGGTTCGGATTATTAAAGCTACATAGTCAAACTAAAATTATGATCGTCAAATCTTGTATTCGTCTATAGAGCTCATCAGTCAGAGACTGGGCTGCTTCATCTCCCACTCCGGCTTCGTTTTTACCAGCTACACTTTCTCATCCATTTCGTCCCTCTTCATATATAAATAAACAGGACACATTATAATTACATAAGAAAGTGTTGCAGATACCTTTACACTCTGCACACTCATTATAGAGCAATTCTGATGGGTCTATTTTGTAGGTTTTTTTTTGGTTTGTTTGTATTGATGGTTCAGAAATCATTCAATGGTTTTTTTTTTTTAAAACATCCTATTTACATGTATTGCAGCTCGGCTCTTCAGCTTAATCAGCCCCATGTTTGTGCAGTGGGTTATCGACTCATATTGTTTCAAACCTCATTCTATTATCACAATTGCTCTTTTTTTTTTTTTTTGAGGGCGGGGGGGGGGGGGGGTGTTGATGTTTTTGTTCTCTAAAATGGACTGATGTGTGCAGTGGATTGCATGGCTTGATGGAAGATTGATAATAGGCTATCAAAGATGAGAAATCCAGCATCAGAAACCAATGAAGAACAAAAATGTTTTTTAAAAAAAATGGTGCATTTTTTTTTCTTGTTTTTTTCAAACCAGCCAATAATTAAACGAGGCTGGATTTGGGTAATCGTTGGAATTCTACCTGTCTCCAGCTCTACATCTATCTGCTACTTGGACGGCTCTCTTCTTACATACCTGTTTCAAAAAACACCCTGCAATTTCTTTTTTTTCATTGTATTCATTGTTAATCATTCTTCAGTTCTCTTACCTTCCTGTTGTTCCTTTGCCTTTTTCCAAAAAAAAAAGAACATTTTTCATAAAATTTTACAACCCAGGTTTTGTATTGTTTTTTGTATTGTTTTGTTTTTAACATTGTCATTATTTGGACCCACTTTTGTACCACTGTGACTGCACCACTTCTGATCACTTTTAATATGGGTTATTGAAGGGGTGCTGTGATTCAGAACAAGATATCCCAGTGCACATGAATGAAGAGACCAAGCTGCACATCTCGGATTCAATGTTTTCTTTTTTGTGAAGTGAAGTGAAGTCAAGTAAAGTGGAGTGGAGTGTAAGCAATTTTCCTTCGACTCTTCACATTTTTACACCACTGCACCAATTCCAATCACTTCAATGTACTTTGTTGACCGCAAAACAATCTGCTGAAAAGATCAAATACCCCACTGTATGTACATGAACGAAGGGACCAAGCTGTGCATTCTTGATTGATTGATCGATGTGCGCTTTTTTGGTAAATTGGAGTGGAGTGAAGGGGAACAGTGCAAAGGCATGATAAGCTGTACTTTCCTTCTCTTCACATTCTATTAAAATCATGGCTTTTCTCAAACTACTTTTATAAGGGCCCAGTACTGTGTAACTGTAGGATCAAAAATTTGAGAATTCGGCATTTATTCTGTCTTCTATATACTTACACATTCAGGACAAGTGGAGAGAGATAAATATGTTGTTGATTTTTTTGTCTATTTGTAAACTATCATACCCTCAATCTTAGGTGGAGCTTGATTCTGATCATTTGTGAATTGGTTTATTTTGGGCAAGATCAGACCTAGTGAAAAAAATTATCCAAATTTGAATTTTTATGCTTTACCGCACAGCCTCAGGTCCTTAGACATCTTAGATTCTGATTTTTTTTTCTTTCTTTTTTTCTTTCTTTCTTTCTTTCTTTCTTTCTTTCTTTCTTTCTTTCTTTCTTTCTTTCTTTCTTTCTTTCTTTCTTTCTTTCTTTCTTTCTTTTTTCTATATGGCAGATATAAGGTGTTATTTGCAGATCCCTCTCCCTATCAATTAAATTAAACTCTTCACTTCCAACGTACTTTCCTTACCCTGTTTTTCGCTTTCAAACGTATTCTCAGAAGAGGATGCCTTATTCATACCAAGATTATAAGGCTGTACCATCTCTGTTGATCTGGTGGTGTAGAAAGTGTTTTGAATCAGGAGAGTCAAAATTCTGTAAACCAGAGTATTTAAATCAGAGTCTCCCTTCAGAAGTGTTCTTCTATTTTTTTTTCTACTTACATATTACCGATAATGGCCGTGTGGACATGTAAACCCTGGAGAAATGGATCGTTCAACTCATGCAAACTAAAGGAAGTTATAAGGAATGTGTTGAACATACGATTTGTTCTAGGATCAGCCAAGTCGGATTATTGAAGAATGTGGTTCCTTTGAAAGACAGCTGATAGTGACACGATCAGACAAATCAAAACTGGCAGGGGTGAATTTGATGGATTTTAATGTTGTGGGTTTGCGACAGGAAATGCGTACCATGCTGATGATTAACGGGGTATATAAGACCGTGTCCAAGTAGAGCAAACATGAATGTTTGACGAGCCGTTTTCTTACGCTTTCGAGCGCAGCTCTTTCCTTCGCATGTCCATCATTCGTCAGGTTAATGGTCGGGCATTTCGAAGCCCCATCTTCAACATCTTTGGAAGCTTTGGTCTGTGTAACATGCTTGGGAGCAATTTGGTTCCGGAGCCCACGCAAGGCAAGCACTGAGGTGGGTACGTAGAGCTTAAAGAGATCCGTTTGTTAGTTTTTCCTCCTTATCTTTTTCAAGTCTGAATTTTAAAGTGTTATGCTGATGACTCACGGCTGTACCTACTAGCTGTAAGACCAAGAATATGATCAAATTGAGTTTAGAATCGTGAGCGAGATGTTTCTGCAGAAGAAAGCGCAGGTGAACCATCCATAAGTATCACTTGGAAGCAGGGGCGTATGTAAATTTTGATGGATGCTCCTGCTCGCGCTTGTGCTCTTAATGAGGTAAAAGCCATCGTTGCTTCGATACCACAAATCCACAAGAACACTGGAGTCGGCCAGATGTTTCATGAGAAATTCAAGTACCATCAGACAAGTATGCCTAAAGAATTAGTCTCGAACGCGACGCGAAGAAAGTGAGAAAGCTTACTCCTGTAATATATAGCAGCAAAAATAAGTCTAGTCCAGACACATCAAGAAGACAACAGTTATTACTCACCAACAAACTTTTGCGGTAATCAAAAATTTCGAGACGTGCAAAACCAGTTTAGTGGAAAAATTCATAAGATCCAGCTCGACAAGTTCTTGTGTGACTAAATCAATGGTCGTGACTGATCAAGCAGCACATCTAAATGAGAAATCAATCATGAAACAACCCAAAGCAACAATATAGAAAATTATCCTCAGCTCGGTTCGAATTGGGTTTCTTAAAACTTACGGATCGAAAATAATAACATGAAAAACACAATCTCATTGAGGACCTCTATGTGAATCAACCCGACTGTTCTTGGAATAAGTAGAAAGATAAAGGTCAGACATTATTATCATCGATTGTCAACTTCTTCTGATTTGATTTATTTGACTGACGTTTGTTAAATCTGAAAAATTTCAATTTTTTAGCTTTCTTCCTCAGCCACAAGACAGTGATGCATTGAACACATAATCTTGACGAAGATGACGCGAAAAAAAAAGTGAAATACGATGTGAGTTGAATGATCTATGCTGAAGGTTTTTGTCAGTCGACTGACATGAAGAACTGAAATGCTAAGACTCGTCGAACAATTCGTCCCCAGAGAGGAGGCTTGGGTACCTGATCACGAAAGAGAGAATGTTAACTTGAGCTGCAAATGTGCATCAAAAATTTATACATAGCTGATTACTTGGGTCAGCTCCTTAATTTGTACAGCTACTGCCTCATACGGATTGACTGATTGTGGTAAGTTAAGTATGAATTGGAATATCTCTTGAGCTGGGTCTGCCATGACCGTTAAAGAAAGTGTGTGTTTGAATAAGCCGGATGATAAGGATTAGACGGCAATCTGTTAAAGCCTCAGGCGAGGAGGACTTGGTGTTAAGTTCGAACTCCCCACGTGTCCACATGCTGTTATTATACTCTTCAGAATCATGCCAAGCTTCTCCTGAACAAGACACACCGATGCCCCAGAAAGATGAAGGGTTGTCCGGTTTCGCGACCAACCGCAATATGAGTTCATGGGCCTTTCATTGTATTGAGCTGCTTCTGTGGATCCGAATCCGATATCTCGGTGTGAGAAGGGAAGGGAAAGACATCATTCAAGGCTGTCTGTGTCCTATGCGAACACAAGTGCGAATGAAGACAATGCACGTGTTTGAGGCCCTTTGGGACTGTAGCTAGTAAAGTAAATTCTAGCCATCTTGAAACCCTCAAGATAAACCGGATTGCCAGAATTAGTTTGCAGCAGCGAGAACAAGCAGACAAGCTTCCTCCAGACTGCTCCTTGCGGCGCGTCATTCTCACTGAATTCTTCAGCAAACTGGGACTATCCTTGCTTGTAGCAGTGGATGTCCTGAGGCTCAATTAATTAGAAGAGTGCTAGTTAGGGTTGCTTCCTGATAACGAAACATTAGCTGAAAATGGTTCTGCATATATCTGGTTTCGCAATAAGCGATACTGAGATGGATAAGTCGGGGATGATAGGTCTCAATGTGACTCCCAGCATTGAGATTATTTGTTGGAATTCTTCCCTCTTTGCACTCATCGCTAAAAATCCACTGTTTCTTTCCCTTTCTGATTAAGAATTATGTATAGAATTGAACAAATTTCAAGATTGATTGGACTCTTTAATGCCTAGATAAGTACTAGTGGTCTGTTTTTCGTCAACTTAGCACACCTTGACGTAAACTTTGATCCCTGTTGGTTGTAGTGGCTAATTTTCTCAACTCAGCCTCTGCCTCAAGCTCTCTAGGTTCTGTGGGATCCACAATTTCAGTTGGTAAGAAGTACCCCTGCAAAATGTATGACACTATTCATGCAGGGTAAAAGTTCCTAATTTAATCTTTGAAGTCTTTGTTTTTGTAAAAGATAGGTGGAAAAGTATGTATTCAATAATTGACATTTCAAAAGCGCAATGGTATGTCAGAAGGTTTTTTCAATGGGTTCTTATACCCTTCATTTCCTCAGAGGCCAATAAAAAAGGGTGTAGTGTCAAGTTAGACCGCTTTTCACATCTTGTAATCAATTAAATTTGGGTTTTCATTGAATGTTATGGATAAAGAATACTTTTTACTAAAAATATTATGAAAATGTGGGACAGATAGAAGATATTTCTTGATTTGACCCATTTGTCAGAATTGCCCCCTCACCTCGATATCGTTGTGTTTATCCATTGTTTCTCTTTGGAGTACGGAATAAGAGTCTGACTTCTGCATAGCAACTCGAGCCGGTGTGGTCATTATTCCTGTGTATGAAGGAAGAAAATTCAAAATTTTATTATTTATCAATGAAGGACTCAAGATACGGACAAATGGACGTCAGAAATGGAATCTACGGCCAATTTAACCCCTAGTCACTCACTGGAACCACCTTCATATCTCTACTGGATCAGAAGTTACGCAGAATCAAGGATGTCACACGGAGAATCACAGGATCAGAGGCACTCAGCTGGAGGGTATATTGCATGGGGGTATATTGCATATTGCATATTGAATTCCTTTTATTCATTTTGAATTCCTTTTATACTTACAGAACCACAAGTTGGCCACCAGTTGTACCAGTTAAATTCCCATTTATTCAGCCACAGAACACATGAATTCCTTTCTTACGGCTTACATATAAAAGGGATGCATTGTAGATAGTCTAGCCAAAATCCCTCAGGATTTTCAAGGATAGGGCAGCTAAAATGCCTCATACAGGGGGTCCCTTGGGGCTAAAATCCCTCATAAATTACTATATAAGGAGGCCTCTGCCTGCCAGTTGTTTCCCTCCTCATCCCACTCAGTACACATTTTTGGTGGGACACCTGTCACAGATTACATATATTTATTACACAAGAAGTTCACGAGTAGTACAGTTCACAGATTGAAATATATAAACAGTTCATTTCACAAACATTACACAGAAGAGCCAGTCCTTTGTTCCAGTCCTGGTTGAAGCATAGTGCTCCCAGACCCTTTGGGTTCAAGAACCACCTCTATTACATTATACATATACAGCATCAAGGAAGAACATAAGTATCAAGACATCAACACAAGAAACAACATCAACAACTCAATCAATTCTTTGGACAACAAGATCAACCTTCAACAATTATACAACCATCTTTGAACATAATCCATTATCACCAACCAAACTGCCAAGCTTACCTTGGTGGTCTTGTTTTCTGATAATATAGAAAGGCAGAGTTTGCAGCTCATTTCATCCCTTTCTCCATTCAGCAAAAAGGATCTTACAATCACTTTTTGAGTCTTACACCGGCAATATCGGTTTTCTGATGGTGTACAAAGTGTTCTGAATCAACAGAGCCAGAATTCTGAAAAACAGAGAGTACAATCAGAAGCCCCCTTCGAAAATTGCTATGCATATTTTTGAATAGTGTTGACTTACGTGTTGCCGATGATTGCGGTATGTACATGAGAGGCCTATTGGAGAAGCAGGGAGTCAAAATCATGAGAACTAGGGGGAGGTTATGAGTTGACTATACAAGTTGTTCTAGAATCAGCCAAGTTGAATCATGGAAGAAAGAGGTTCCTTTGTACGACAGCTTCAAAGGTAAATATTGAAAAATATGGTCACTTGCACAGTATTCAGTTTGTTTTCAATGTTTGTGTCAAAAAACGTACCATGTAGAAGAGTATTGGGAAATATAAAATCGCGTCCAAGTAAAGCAAACACGAATGTTTTACAAGCCTCTTCCTCACGCCTTCAAGGGCCTTTCTACCTTTTGCAGTTCCATCATTCATGAGTTTCATCATTGGGGTTTGGTAGTTCGAAATGGAACTTTTGGAAGCCTTTATCATTGCGGCATCCTTAGGTGCCAGTTGATTCCGGAGACCACGCAGGGCGAGTACTGAGGTGGGCACGTAGAGCTTGAAAAAAGCAGGTTTTTGCCGGTTAGTTTTTAATCAGCATTGGATCTTTTGAGTGAGGCATGAATTGAAAGTGTTATACCGTGGACTTACGGCTGTAGCTACTAGTTGAAGCAGCAGATATGTATTCAACATCAGTTTCGAATTGTGAGCGAGGTTTTTCTGCGTGAAAAAGAGTGGGTGAACTGGGCATCCCTTAGGACCACGGGTCCATGCAAGGAAAGCTCTAGGTGTGGCAACACCGGCATGAGAAAAATCGAGCTTACAGTATGGATAGCAAAGACTTGCCCAGGCTTCAGGAGCTCCAAGAGACTCATGACATTGTATGTTTCAGGCCGATAGGTTGGGGCTGCATTGCTAAGGCCTGTCAGAATCTCCTGGGAAGCAATTTCGATTGCTTTCATATCCAGGGCAATGCGGATAGAAACCCATAAGATGAAAGCTACTCGACAAGATTGACAAATTTAAGGCGCCAATTATAAACAACATTTTGGCAATTTTTTTGAAACATTTTTGCATAGGGTTTTGGCTTTTTGAAAGCGCGGATTCTTGCACCAAAACATTTCCAAAACGATTTCAAAACGGGGTGGCAGTTATAAACATTTGCACCCCGCACCAGTCACAGGTGATCAAAGGTGCTTGGACTCGCCTCCAGAAAGCCTCTCCCCACTGGTATCTTCACCCAAGTTGACCATAATGAAGACAACAACAAATGACCAAAACCACGCGCGCCCGCGGGGGGGGGGGGGGGAGAGAGAAGAAATATTGGCTTGGGAGACGGCTAGACCCTGTTGCTGACCCACCCGACCTGATTCCAAATTGATCTCGTCGAGATTGTGTGCAGTACAAGTCTACCACTGTATGGTACAGAGTTTCCACTCAATGGGGGTGTCAAATACACCTCCTGTTTGGCTGTAGTTGTGACAGAAAAAAATTACCGAGCTCAAAACGTGTCCAAAGGAGGTCCATGGGCTCCTTTGGACCCGTTTTGTTTTTGTTTTTTGCCAGATTCCTGACTATCTTGAAAATCAAAATGTTTGTAAAACGTTTTGGAAATATTTCCAAAACAGTGTTTATAATTGGCGCCTAAATCAGGGTACTGCAGTCATTGCTCGATGGGTGTAGCTTGTTTGTTGCGCATCTAAAAGGCCAACGCACCAGCTGGAATAGCCGCGACGGTCAACATCAAACCGTTTGCAACCCATCGGACCCACAACAACAATTTAATGGATACTCCAGCTCGCGCTTGCGTCCTTAACGAGGTGAAAGCCATGGTTGCTTTGATCCCACAAATCCACAAAAAGACTAGAGTCCAGATGTTTCATGAGAAAAGCAAGCACCACCATGCAAATGTGCCCGAATTAGTCTCAAGCGTGAAGCAAGGCAAGTCAAAACACTGACACCTGTGGCAGCAATTGTTCAGCCAATGAGGAAATCAACGTCAGACGCATCAAGAGGATAAAACTACTTACCAGCAAACATCCGTTGGGATTGCAAACTTTGATATACGCACCACCAGTTTACTCGAGAATTTTATGAGATCCAGTTCAACAAGTTCTTGTGTCACTAGATCTATAACAGCAACTTAAGTCCATCAAACCATCACGTCCAAATTAAAATAAATAAATCAGTCAAACAAGAGTGGAACATGACAAAAACATTGATTAAAATTGCATCCTGACGTACGCGTAGAAAAAATAAGCATGAAAAGCACAATCTCATTGAGAACCTCAACATGAATCAATCCAACTGTTGAAGGAAGAATTGGTAAGATAAATATCAGCTATCATTCTCATCGACCATCAGCTTCATTTGATTCATTGTGCTGACGTTGATTATATCTGAAGAATTTCAATTTGTTTGATTTTTTCCTCAACCACAAGACAGTTATGCATTGACCACATAATCATTGCAAAAACGAAGTCGAATAGGAAAAAATATTGAACGCAAGACAATGTGAGTTCAATTAATTACTGGACTTGACGTTTTGTCAGCCAACTGACACGCAGAACTGAAATGCTATGACTCGTCGAAGGATACGTCCCCATAAAGGAGGCCTGGGTACCTGATTAAAGAATAAATTTCAACTTGAACGAAGTATGTATGTCGTAGTTATAGACAGTTACCTACTTGGATGAGTTCCTTGATTTTTGAAGCCACTGCCTCATACGGATTTATTGACTGTGGTAAGCTAAGTACAAATGCAAAAATTTCTTGAGTTGGGTCTGCCATTGATGATAAGAAATGAGTGTGTTTGAGCGAAATGAGCGATGAGCTTGAATTAGCAACTGGGGACCTACCCTCAAGCTAGTTACATTCTTAAGAGTCATGCCTGTCTCCCCGAAACAATCCCCACTCGTGCTTGAATCAGAATGCCTTTTGGCGATTTCGGGACAAGCGGACCTCCTAATGAATCAATTTGCTTCCGTGGATCCGATGCTTCGGCGTGGGAAGGCAAGGGATGTGCTTCCCTAAAATTGTCTGTGTCCTTGAATATGCGCAAACACAAGTGCAGATGAGAGCACGCGGTACAAGCCGTATTACCCCAGGGAGGTTCTACATACGTCTGATCAGTACAATCTTCCTCCACATTGCTGCCCGCACCTTTTTGATTGAAAGTGCCTGCGGATTTCACATCTGAAGCAGGGATGGCCGAGGAACAAACTAAGACTAAATATGCTTGCAACTGTGTATTGAGCTATCCTCAATTGATTCAAAGCTCACTGGATTCATGAAATACTCGCTTGCTACGTTAATGGTTGCAACACAGGCAGAAAAAAAAACACGGAAATCTTGCTCGTGTTGTGGTCTTTCAGATTCAGGCATCCGATTTTCTACTTAAAAAATACAATGATGTCAAATTCCTTCTACAGTAAAGTGCCAAATAGTTCAAGTCTCCTCAATTTTCATTTATTCCTCCTTTCTTAAACAATTGAGATCCCTTCAATATTCCCCTATGTTGTTTTCATGTTGTGTAAGATATAATAACCAAATAGCATGTTGACTTCCTTTAAAGGCTCTAAGTATTTTTATGATTTAAACACGGCTATGGTAAAACTTTCGACTGGTGCTAGATAGAAATTTTTTCGAGTTATTCTAAATACTGGCCACTTTGAACAGATACTATGTTCAAATTTGGACTTTCAGGTAGCTTTGAAAGAATGAAAACTGAAATTTGACTAAATTGAGACGTCATATGATTCAAAAATTTCTACAAATTAGAAGATACATTATTTAGTTGCTTTCCCCTGCCTTCTGGTCTCTGATGTTCAATATCAGATAGCAATTTGAGAAACTGAGACTTGGAAAAATTGTCATCTTTTCAATTATCCGTGACGTGTATCGTGTATCATAATTGCGATACCGACAAGTAGAAGTGTAGTCAATGGCCTAAAATTGAGAGATAATCAGAACGTTGAATTTCCCCAATTTCATTTTTTTTTTGCTTGAACTTACGTAATGAAGACGAATGACCAAAACAACAATCTCGAAACGAGTTTATCCAAATCTCCATCTTGTTCTGTGGCCATTTGAGCCAGTGTAATGGCGGGTGGAGCGCCCACAAGCAGCACAGTTGTCAACAGAAAAATTGGATCTGCGAAGATAGTGACGCCAGTGAATTTCGACAAAATGTATATCAATGGAAGTAAGATGAGTGGTGTGATCAAGTGGCGCGAAATGAGAGCTAAAGCGACGGTTTTGGTTTGATTCTTAGACGATTTTTGTGACGAAGGCCCAAACTGCGAGGTTGATTCGGCGCTTCGAGCCGCTTTTCTTGAGCTCTTATATGAAGTGGACGATGAGAAGAAAGAACCTGAAGGAGCACTAGTAATCAGAATCGTCTTTTGGATTGACCTTGGTGGAGTTATGACAGATGATATACCTAAAACAACCAGCGTGATGGGAATAGATGCATTACCGGCAGAATTCAAAAAACTTGATGAAGTAAGAAAATATCGTCAGGAAAACAGCCGGCAATATTTGAGAACAATGGATCACAAGTGCATACTTTCTCAATATCTGAATCCCACTGAGCCAATGTTGAAGCGGGGGGATGCAAGCGATTACGATAGACAACACGGATGAAATCCTGCATAAAGAGGTATACGTCACCGTCGATGTCTAAATAGGGATTGCTACCTTTACTCACAATGGCGGATTAATAAACTTTCGAACGGTTTGGATAAAAATCATTACCCCAGAAGGAACCCGAGAGCTGTCTATGAAATGCAGTTTCTTCCATCTGTTGACACTTTTTTCTTCTCCAGGAAGCGGCGCGGCGACTTTTTCTGGCGCTGCTGGAGAATTCGCCTCGCCCACTTCACCGGTTTGATTTTCCCATATTGGCTGGAGTCTTGTTGGATCATCGAAAAAGATTGGGTACTCATTGCTGGGGTGCGCTTCTGGTATACTGTCATTCAATCGCTTCAATACTTGCTGAATCTCAAACTTGTTACTTCCAAGAGAGTGTACTACTCACGTCAATGGCCCATTTCGACACGATTTTCTGCGTTCCTTATAGATCTCTCCAGTGATATCACAATGTGTTATTTCGGATTCGACGCTGAAGGCAGTAGCTGAGCTCATTCTTGTATATTCTTTTTTTGATCCATTTGGTCCGAGGAGATTTGAATAAGCGCCAAAGGCAGTTGGATAGCTAAATCTGACACTAGGTTTTGAAGGTGTCCCAAGGTCCGACTCTGATGTAAATGCGGTAGCACAGCTAATTCGATAAGCTCCTTGAGTTCTAGTCGGCACCGCCAGATCAACAAATTGAGGGGTCGCAGTATCTTCGACATGGAACATGGAACAATCGTGCCCTACTGATGAAGGAAATGCGACCTTTTCGCAATCATTGATGGCGTAGCTTCCCTTGAGCTCCCTTTTCTCGTTACCTTTCTGCTCCGAAGGTTCTAGTAGTTTTACCCCATAAGACCATCGTAACAAAGTTCCTAAGAGTGAATATACCGCCAGGTAAGAGAACGCCCTTCCAAGTTCCTTTGTAGTTGAATGCCCTCATCGCGTCACATGAGCTTGGATACCTCCACGTTTTTTTTTTTTTTTTTTTTTTTTTTTTTTTTTTTCAAAAAGAATAAGCTTACCTTATCTGGGGTATCAAGAGAATTCATCTTTAATTTCTCGAGGGATAGAGACAAGCTTTGTATCAAAGCGATGGGAATCGTGTTCGTGTTCATGAACATTGCTCCAGCAATGGTAACATTGAGATGTTGCCTTGATAGTCCGAACATCTTCCCTAAGCACCACGCCGAGGCAAACGAGACAAAGGTGATGATGGCAAAAGATGCGGGTATCACTATATCCATGGAATAAATACATCAGTGATTATCCTATCAAATTCGCGAAGGAAGGTGTCAGACACGTACCCCATAATCCTGCCAACTTCTCAGGTGTTAGGAAGAAAGCGACCTTTCCGAATACCAGAGCGGGGGTGAAAATGCCGCTGAAGGTGTGAGTGTGGTGAACATCGACGGTTACATCAATAGAACACTGACGGAAAAGTTGTAGAAAAACAAAGGCAGACCACAGGAAGACTCACATATTCAGTCGATTGAGCTGTCTCCTACATTTGCAATCAATAACCCCTCTTATCGCAGCAATATAGCCGGCAACCTGACGTGATTTTTGCATGTTTATCAATTCCACTGTAAGAAACTAGTTAGCCAGCGCCAAGAGGTGACCGACTTACACAAAAGGCAGCAATCTAAAGTGAAAATGCATTCAAGACCCAAGGTTGGTGACGAAATAACTCTAGTTGAAGGAAGAAGAAAATGGGAAACATACCTGAACTATGGAGGTGGTAACAGTTCTGCATCGGAGGGCCACAAGGAGGACGAAAAATATATCACCATCAGGAGGTAGTTGTCAGTTGTATCCAGCAATGCAGTCCTCGGTCGAGGTAACTACTTATGAAATGGCTTACAACACGATCGGGATAACGTCTAGGGCCATCGGCTCCTGGCGCAAGCACCAAGAGAGTGTCGAACGAAAATGTCAAAAGGCAATATCAATAAGCGCTATTATTTCTTCACTGATAGATAGAGCTTTGCAGTGTATAAAAGATCAACCCACCCCATGCAATGTCAAGCAGAAACGGCTGGAATCTAGCTAGTCCTATGGTACGAGCACAGTTGAGTATTTGCGGGAAAAAGCGTGCAATATTTTAACAGAACCACTTGAATGAGAACTTTGAGATTACTATAGGTCGGTAGCTTCGAGGTGATGAATGGAGCTGGAGCAGAAAACTATCTTCTCAAGGCGCGTGAAGTAGACGCGAATCCCATACCCACTGAAAGCTATGAAGAAATCAGTAGTAGACGTTTAGTCAGTAAGGATTATGGAGAAAGAATTTAGCTCAAGAATAAACTGACGCCAGAATATAGAAGTGCAGAAGGCAGGCTCCGTTTATCTGTGGAAATGTATTGAACGGTAAATAATAGATAATGTAGTTTGGACGATGAGTAATGAAAGTTGGCCTGGGTGAAGTGGAAACTATTCCCCGATGCCTTCAGACAAGCATCTTTAACTTTTCGGTATTGATTGATGTGGAATCTGAATATTTGAGATTGCCGCTGATTGCCGCCAACAAACGAGGCTTGGCTTGTGCCTCAGACTTATTATTCCGCTGGTCACTTGTGCTTCTGTTTGATGGTTAAAGAATACTAAAAGACAACTACGACCCTGTCATGAATGGATTGATTGCGGTTTTCGTCTTATCATCTTTGAAATGAGATGCCCCGGATTTCATGTTTTGCCTCATGCCAATGGCCATGGAAACAGAGGTCTCGACTGAACTACAGCAATCGATAAGCAGCGCTTCATCACAAGGTCTGTATAATCTCTCATTCATGTTTTGTAATTTGGCAATCTTGCACTTTCCTCATTAACAGATCCCTTGCAGGAATTTCCAAACGGGAAAAGACTTCCAGCCTATAACGAAGTCTTCATTTGAACTCCTGACTAAGCTCACCCCAGTTCATTCCCAGTTGAATCGCGGCAAAAAAAAAAACGTTTTGCAGGGGCTCGGATGACATTTCATTTCCCCGTAGACTCTTGCAACAACTCCTAGGCTATATGGGTCCTGATGGACACTTTATTTCTGCTGATAGGTCATTCTATGTATGATGAGTACACCTGGGCAACAGTTTCTCTTTCCTGCTTCTATTATTCTATAGGTGTGCTTCGGCAGGCCGATGATGGCTCCCTTGAGGTTTTTCTTATTAAAGATGCTCGCCTACCGGTCTAATTTGTAAAATCTCATTTTCATGCCGCCGGGCTGCACCCGGCCTCACCCGACTGACCTCGATTTGATGGAGATGTAACGGTACGTACGTGCTGACGGTAGACTCCAGGGTCTATCTCATGCAGATACTTCGAGAGGATTGCGGTCGTTCGACTTGATTTGCCGAGGGGTCAGAAACCCACTGCTGGCCCTTCCCCATCAGCCGTCAAGTGCTACGGGAAATTCAGATGGCTGCCAATTTTTCTCCCGGTTGATCGGCGTCACAAAGATGTTAGCCAACGCACGCAACCCATTTGCACAGCTATCATCCAGTGGCCCCAAAACAGGAGCCATTGTCAAGTTACAAATAAATGTTGATGATCTACATTACAGCGATCTCCCCGCTGCAGCGGCTGCAGGCAAATATCATTTTTTCAGCTATGGCTGTGAGTAGCGGTGCTGCGTTTTTCTTTTTTTCACTGCATGCCATTCCAAACCAGAAGATTTATGTATTTCTAAATATTGACGAGATGATGTGATATTTAACAGTAAAGCTGGAAAATGCAGTAAATAATCACAAGGGCTCAAGGTACACCCATGTGTCAGGAATGGTCTGTTGTAACGAATCCAGTTGACATCTGATAACGAATCTCAACCACGAGGACTACCCTCGAGAGGTGCCTTTGTTTAAATCGAGGTTTCCTACAAAAAAGAAGAGTTTAATAAGATGAGTGGGACAATGAGGAACGTTCTTTCGATGAAAATGTGATCCGTAAAGGATGATGTTTTGACTTGGCTCGGCAGAATGAGTTCACATGCTGATTGGGCAATCCCAACAGGCGTCAGTCTGATGAGGAACAACGCGCACAAGCTCAACACAAGCTCAACACAAGCTCAAAATCATTCTTGCTTGAAGCGGAAAAGTGATCAGACGACTCTGATGGAAAAGTAGCGTTATGAGCAAGTTGTCGCTTTTTCAAAAAAAGGACGAAAACAAGTCTTTAGCCTGTTCAAGGCTAAATCATAAGGATGGGAGCAAATAAGGCGCGTGCAGGTAAGAAGTACAAATAATCCATGCTGAAAATTCCAAGAAACCTTCCGCTTGACAAACTGACCAATGGGACCAAATGTGTGGTATACATTTTGCTTGAGTTTTGAGTCTAAGGAGCTTTTTCGTGTTCTTCAGAGGTGAGGGTTTTGAGACTCAGGGCATGAATTCCAGCAGTATTTTTTGTCAACTCGACGTCAAGGATCTGATAGACCAGTCGATGACGAGCAATCGTTGGTTTTCCGACAAATTGATCTGACACCACTTTGACCGAAAAATGCGTCTCTCCCGATCCACCACCTAGGAATATAAATAATAAAAAAATCGTCAAATCAATCAGTTTCGCAGATTCAAGCATTCAAAAATTGTTGTGCTGGATTGTGTCAAATAATCAAGTGGAGTAAACAGATACCAATCGATTTCATGGCTGCATGGTGCCTGTGCAAATGCGAGTCATTGGCGATATCCAAAACAACCGGGTTCAACTGGGCCGTCAACTTGAAGATCCAGAAAATCACAAGAACCGTTAGCATCAAATACGCCGACATCGTTTGGCAACATATACTACTGACTTTTTCGCGCATCGTCGTTTCGATCGGTCCAATCGTCTGGCGTGCCGATGAGGCTTCTGACATCGTTCGGGTGAACTGGTTTCGGAGTTCCTGAGAGATCAGCGCGGGGTTTCTTTGGACTCTTGAGACAAGTACTTCGAGTGCCTGTGAGCTTGCCCTTCGTCCAATCATTTGATTCTGTCGCCAGTTTTCCTCGAAACTCTTCGTCGGCTGCAGAGGGTGCTCCGCTTGATCCGACCCATACCCTTCGGGTACCCGGACCAGACGGGCTATGATTCGGTGGTTGCATAATCACATCTGAATATCTTAACTTAACAAGTCCCAGGGATTGGTTAAGTTAGATATGCCATTATGTGCTTGTAACGCGTTTCATCCAACAAATTGAACCCCAAATCAATGCAACAAAAAAAAAGGGGGGGGGGGATAGAGGCTCACAACCAGAAAAGGAAATCATGGGGTTTCTTAGGGGCGCAGCATGCAGAGGGGCCTTGAACAGCAGGGTTCAGGGCAGTTTCCATGAGGAGTGATAAAGTCTTATTCGAAAAAAGGAATATAGGTGCAGAAAACAAGGAGAAATAAGTTTGTAAAAAAGAAATAAAAAATCAAGAAACACACACTAAGAGAACTTCAGATAACTGTGCTAATGTTGTTTAGAGACATGAAATATGATGATCATATTGAATGTGTTCAATTCAGCAAAAAAAAAAAAAAGAAAAAGAAAGTGGATCCAAGACACAGATGGAAGCAGGCACCAGAAAGAAAGAATTGAAGGCAAATAGTGCAGTCAGATGGACATCAATGGAACGTCTAAGACCAATCTAACTGACAAAGAATTACACTTGAAATTGTTTTTTTTCGAGTACAGTTTTATCGATCTTTAATCCTAGCAAACATCAAAGAGAAACAATCAAAACTCAGAGAAAGAGAGCCGGAGTATTTATTAAAAAAAGACTGTTTCTGTTCGACTACATAATTAAGTTATCAGAACCTCTGATTTTGATGGACCGATGACTGTTTGATTTGCTGGGTGAGTGCTTCAACTGAGTGGACGAAGATCCTATTGAAGAAAGTCTTGGTATACTCGATAGAGACCTGTTTGCGTCTCAGATTATGAATAAATTGCGGGCGGGATTTTTCCATCCAGAGTTCCAAGACGCTCCAAACGGCCGCGGATCTCCCGCTGCCCTTCTTATTCAACTGCTCATGGAACTTCATCCATCTCCTCCAAAGGCTCCGATTGTCTTTCAACTGGTTGGTCCTGAATTGAGAAGACAGTTCTTCGAACAGTTTGAATGCACTGGCCAGCTCTGAACCCACGTTGCCTTCCTCGGTGAGGTTTGGAACGATGACGCTGATCATCTCAACATAGAGCAAGTATACGAAACACGTGCTTGCAATCGCATGCGATTGCGTCTTGGTAACGTAATGCGGTTCGAGCTTCTTGATCACGTCGTCCGACATATCCCAATCGAAGTTTGCCATTTTCGACCAATGTGTATACCACGCGGATCGGTCCGACCAAACTGCATTATGAGATGCTAGGAAGAGTTGCGCTTGAGTGTCCTCATCCTCAAGTTCTCGATCAGGTTTTCTGTTTGGAATGACGAATGTCAAGTGTTTGCATCTGCCGCCGACGATATGGTGATATTCGAGGAATTGAGCCTCGGTCATCACCAATTTCCCTTTTGGCCCCCCTTCCTTTTCTAAGATCTTGATGAGATTGAGAATCTCTTGACGGATGAATGATTGTTTTGAGGAGGAATCGGCAACAGCAAACAGTGTACTGTGGAAATCCAATGTTGCTGGGTAATATGTTCTCTCTCGAGCTATTAATTGATTATTAATATATGGAATGTTGAAGCCTGGGAGGTAGAGAGTCGGTCTGGACGGGTTGACATGGGCGATGACGCTATCCGGGAGAAACGAATTTGACAGCAAAGAACTTTCAAATATCGTTGTCCTGGCTATTTCGTAAGGCCCAGCTTCATGCTGATTGTAAGGGATAGGAGGATGACTGGAAAAAGTGAATTTGGCGCGTGAACTGGTGGGTAATTCATTGGAGCTCTTCCGCTTCAGGTTTATATCAAAGTTCCGAATCGGTCGTGGATCCCTTCCGAGTGGCACACTGGGACGCACAGTTCCAGCAGGATTACTTTGGATTGCAATATCATCATCCAGCGGGTAGAACTCAAGATGAGGTCTTTGCGAGTAGCGGCTGCCTTCTTTAGAGGGACCATCGAGTCCGCGACGTGAGCTTAGGTCGGCAGTCTCCTCGACCCTCAGAGGCTCCTGGTTCAGATCCAAGATAAAGCCATCACGTCTTGCGGGGTCAGCAAGGGCGTCTTGTGAATGGGTTTGCTCGGGAAGTTTTGGGCTGTTGAGGTTATGTTGCGGATTGCCACTGTGCGCGAAGTCGTGGTCCACCGCCGCCGGAAGTTCCTGGGGCGAACCGAACCCTTCAAGGAAGTCCCTCGTTCCATAGCAGTTGACGACCAGAAGCAAAGCGACCCGAAGCTGATGAATGCCGAGTTGCATCCTAGTGCCTGTTCATACGATGATAAATAGTATATTTATCAGTTTAGAGGGAGGCTGCCTTTGACATATGAACCATGTGAGTCCCATTGGGATTCGGATTCTAGGTTAGAGGTTTTACATATCCTTTGTTAAATCCTGCGACTTGTTAATAACTCGCTTGGGTCGATTCCTGTGGCCAACCAACCTCCGAAGTTTCAGCTCGGCAACCAGTTTGAGATTCAGACCTCTTTTTTTCAACTGGAGTGTGATGGTGTCGGAGATTCAAGTCCTCATAGGTAAGCCTTAGCGGAGGATACATGCATCAAGATCCCGAAAGCTACTAATAATCCAATCTATCGATTCGTAATCTGCAGTTGGGGCGGGTGCAGTTGGTGGATTCTACGGATCCCGGCTACACCGGCCAGAGGAAGGCGTCAAGGTCTCGTTTGTCTGTCGATCGAACTACGAAGAGGTGAATGCAGAGGGGATCGAGATCGAGAGTCGGACGTTTGGAAAGCACCGGATTCGGCCTGAGCGGGTGTTCAAGTCGATCGAGCATGCCGCCGAGCTCGGCTCGTCAGGAACCGGGGGCCGATGGGACTACGTGGTGCTGTGCACGAAAGTCTTGCCGGACCGGGTCGATGATCCAGCATTACTCTCGCCTCTCTTGAAAGACCCTGAAGATGGCCGCCATCCTCCGACATTGGTGCTCATTCAAAACGGGATAGGCTTCGAGGATAAGCATCGTCAGAGACACCCCAAGGTACCCATCCTCAGTGCTGTCACCGTCGTTAATGCTGAACAGCTCCAGCCGGGCTTGGTCAGACATAATCACTGGACTCGCATCAGCATAGGCCCTTATCTCGATTTCTCAGCTTATCTTGAACATCCTCATCCTTCGGTCGATCCTCAACTTGAGCTCCATTCTCAATCTCAGTTGGAGCTCTTTGTTAAACTACTTCGGAACGGTCAGATCAATGATGCCGAAGTCTATGGCGAAAGAGACCTCCAAATTCTTCGCTGGCATAAATTAGCGATCAAGTCAGTCAGAATAAAAGCCATCCATATATCCCAGGTCTACGTTAGATACCAGATAAACTGAGATAAGATTCACTTTGCGAGCAACTCAGTGCTTCGATGAACCCGACCTCGATCCTATCTGGCGGAATGCCATCATCGGAAATGGTGAAGGATGGGGAGCTACGAGAGCACCTATCAGGATGCATGGAAGAGGTATTCGAAGCGGCGAAGAAGATCTTTGGGATCGCGAGTTTCCCGGCGGAGTTTGCAAGCATCGAGCGGATCCTGAAGTCGACCGAGAGGGCCGGCGAACGAGCGACGATCAAGCCCTCGATGTTGGCCGATTGGGAACAAGGTCGGCCGCTCGAGATCCAGGCTATCCTCGGCCTTCCTATCCGCATCGCCGCCAATGCTGCCATCAAGCTGCCTCGGATCCAGTCCATGTATGCTTTCTTGACTCAGCTGGAACTCGCTCGCTCTCAAAAGAAAGAGGCCAATCAACACAGCAGCTAAAGCTTATATACACACGTTATGTTTCTATATCTTCTTTCTGTCTTCCGGCTGAGTGACATTTGCCCACAGATTGTGGTTGTTTTATTATACCGATAGAGAAAATTGTATATAAAGAACTTGCGTCATTAGCAACATGTTAATCTGCTCATTTTACCACAATTGACAATCCATATCGTATCAAACTGCGTGCTTCAAACAAGACCTACAAGCTGACCACTTGGGGAGGCCATAAATGAATCCAAACAATGACAAGAAATTTCTCACCTGTTTCCTCCTTCTTTGGTTTTCTTTATTTCATGCTATGATATCATTCAATTTGATTATGAAAGTCAGAATGAGTCTTGAGCTGTTATACTTGTAAAACAAGGGCAATTTTGTGTGGAGGTAATTGCAAACACCGTTTTTTTGAGTGTTAAGATGGGGGAGGGAGGAGCTAGGGTAGTAGTTAACAAATGACTTTGTTTTCAGACTGGGGCAGAAGTCGTACAATTGTTTTATTTAATCAAAATAGAAGAGACTTATATGTAAGCAGCCGGTAGATTAAATACATATGTGTATGTATGTTGTGAATGTAGGTAAAGTAGCAATTTAGAATCATCATAATAATATAAAGTTACTAATTATTAATGGAAACAAAAAAAAAAAACAAGAAGATTGAACGAATGAACGATTCACTCGAAAGAAGAAGAAGAAGGGGAGACCCAAAAGCCCGAACAAAAGCAGCGCCTCTTGAACTCTTTGATGGAGAAATCGAAAGCCGTCAATCGTGACAAATAAGTGTCGAGGGAGGGATGAGAAGGAGAAGGGCCAAGGGGATTGCCGGGCGGAGATGAGGAGGAGGAGGAGGAAGAAAGGAGGTCGTTGTAAGTCCAGGGATGGACCAAGGCTCTGGCCCTACACTTGATGCACTCTTTGACGCTTTTCTCGAGCTCTGTGGATCGGTGGATGATCGGAGTGCCTTGATGAGTCCGTTTGGAGGCCCGGGTTGCATCGGCCAATTTGACCCCGCTGAGGAGATCGTACTTGGCCAGGTCATCATCAGGCTTGATCGTCCGATTGATTTTCTTCAACGTCGCAATCGTCTTGGCACTAGACAGCCATTCTGCACCCGTTGTTGTTGTCGGTGGTGGCCCGGGCAAAGTGGCTGACGGAGCTGGCACAGAGGAAGGCGTCGTGGTGGGCGTCGTGCTTGGGCCGTTGGGCGGCGTGGAGGGGCGGAGCGTCGCCGAGGGTGGGACTGAGATCGACTCTGAGCTCTCAGAAATGGACCCAGGTTTGATGAGCGCCGGGTGTCGGCCTACGTATTCTCTTAGCTCCCGCACAGACTCTTGGACCTGAGCCGAGTCGAGTGCCGTCATTGCCAGTGTGTAACCTTGGATGTGTCGGGTGGCCAAAGCTTTCATAGACCCAAAGAAAAATAAGTTTTAGATGGTCTTGATGACGGACAGAATGTGTACAAATTTCGACTGACTAGATAAATCGACGGTTTGCTTGGGGAACACCGTCCGACCGATATCCTGGAGTAACTTGCCAAAGGTTTCCATATGGATAAAGTTCTGATGTTCCCCAGAATTCGGCGAAGACTAGCCAGGCGATTTCGCCCTGATCTTCAGGACGAGCGGAGGTGAAGTTATCGAGCGGGATTGATGAAGGATGGACGGGCTGACTGGGCCGGCGTTGGTGCGGATGCAACGGGTGGCCGCCTGGCGTCGTCGTAGCGGAGGAGCTGGCGACCTTGAGCCATGTGTGGAACCCAGAGACCACCATGGCTACCTTGAATAAAAAGTAAAACGAGCAGCCACTCATCGCGATCAAGCATAGATGTGGCGTCTCCGAATCTGTTCGTCCACCACCATCATTCCGCGTCATGTCAATTCCGAAATTCCTCATCGGAACACTTGAACTGTTTCGTTCTACTCACCTGGATCGATCGAACCAATGATCCTCTGAAGTGAGCTTCAAAATACCATCGCGAAAGACCAATCATCTGCCACACCGATCCTGTTCAAACACCATCATATAGGGTTAAAATAGTTTCCCTTAGAAACCGAAAAGTGTAGGATAGGACAAACCAGGAAACCCATCTGCCTTGACCATCGTTCCGATCCCGAGCACGGCCAATAATTGCCGGCCAATCAGGGCAATTTCGGCGGCCTTCTCATATCCCCGGACGACACTGTCCAACGGCCAGGACGTTGTCAGAGATCAAAAGCCAGTCAAAAAAAAAATAGGAGGGAAGAGGAGAGAAGGAATCAACAAACCTCCAGAGGTCGTAGCTCAAGCTCCAAGAACTAGCGAGATACGGATCGAAGTCGAAGCCCCTACAGGGTGGATATAGATGGGTGATGAAGAGGCCGATGTCGCGAAAAATGGGATGATGGGTGGTGACGACACCGTTGATCGGAGACCGCTCAGTAGACGTCGGCGTACTCTCGATGGCACTCGTAGAAGGAGTGGCCAGTAATCGAGAGATGTCGTCAACCGGCTCTCGATTATGGAGCGCACTGATGATCAGACCAATGATGGTAGCCGGTTGGTCGAGCGAGACTAAACAAACCATCCAAAAATAGGAAAGAGTCAGAGCCCAAATTGTTCCATGAATCAACGTGACCGATATCGAGGAAATCAACGCGACTTACCCAAGGGAGACGCGCGGACTTTTCCATGCTGATCGAGCGTACAAGCCCATATTCCATGGTAAGAAAGACTGACTTGCTCGAGTTCACCTTGGTCTAGTCGTGGCAAAGCCTTGACGGCGAGGGTGGATAAGTCGTGTCTGCGATTTCCGACGCGGTTGGTTCAGAATGTTCAGGTACGGAGCAAAAGAATGAAAGGTGATGCGTACCCGTCCAAGACCCAACATTCATACTCTACACCTTCGTCTCCCTCTCCCTCTCCTTGCTCATCCTCATCATCTACGCCTTCTGAACCTTCTAGAGGATCAGCAGCCTTGAAGAGTCCGATGGGACGTTTTCTTTTCTCGACAAAAACCAGAAAACATCCTTCACGAACTCTCCATTGCGGTATCAGCTTGCAAACTCTTATCAGACTAGAGGATCGATGCTCGATCGGTTCAGTGGATGAAGAAGACGACTCTTTGTCAATCAGAAGTTTTCGATGGCCGACTCGATTGAAGACCTACACATTTTTTTTTCAAAACCAACATGGAAGATCAACACCAGCCACTGCAATCCGAAAAGGATGGATGCTTCTTTTTCTTTTCGAGTAGCATAACAAAAGAGAACTTTACCCATTCGACTGGTCCTCGTAACAGATCGGTTGGAGCAGAGGAGGAAGGGTCAATGGAATGATTACGAAGATCATTGATGGACTCTAAGCTCAGGAACCCTGTAGACAAGCTCGAGAGTTGGAAGCGGACGTCCCAAGCCTGGAGCTGTTCGATCACTGTTGCGATGCCTTCTTCATACGTCTCCTGTCTCGAAAAACTCGCGAGTAATCTGAAGCTATCTTCCTTCGTTTTACTATCGGTCGCATCACTCGATTGAGAAGTCACAAAGGAGAGATGTCGTAGGATTACTTGGGAGTCTGTGGTATGATCAAAAGGATCGGTTATTGGGAGGCTTGGGATCAAGTGAATGGTTACATCTGTTCAAAAAAAAACATATATATCAATAACAAAAGGAAGTCAGTCCAATGTGACGCGTTTCGTTTGACGAAGGGGGGAAGAGAGGGACGCAACTAGGGATGATAGAGTGATCGAAATCGATCAAGAGTTCGATCAAGTCAATGAACCCAAACGAAGGTTGATGCGGAAGATGATCGAGGAAGGGAGAGATGAGAGAGGAGAAGTGATCGGAGGGCGGGACGGGTTCGAATCGTCTGAGTCTCAGATTGAGGTCTTGTTTATGAGATTCGAGGGAGGGTTTAGGCGGCTGATCAGCCTGTTCGTTGGAGGATTTTGTCACATCGGGATGGTCGGGATTGTGGTCGGTGGAGAGATTGGTGGATTGAGGTTGGACGGAAGGGCCGTCAAAGGCATCGTCCAGGTCGCCGATCCCGGTGATATAATCGCCTAGCTCTTCGTCTTCTCCGAGTGGGAATCGCGCCCCTCCTCCTAGTTGATGGTGGGCAAAGTCGTCTGTGGTCTGCTTAGCTCGGTGATCGGTCGTGTTGGTCGGAATGACGGTCTGTTTGATCGGCCTCGGTACGCCCGGTCGCGTCTGGCTCTGGAAGGCGATCAATAGCGAAGGCTGGCTCTCGGGCTCGTTGGGCGATTGTCGTCGTCGCGAGGGCGGAGTACCGATCGCAGCTATCCTGATCTCTTTGAGAGTCTCCGTCGTCGTCGTCGTTGCGTTGGTCGGTGTTGGGTGAGAGGAACCTAGTCCATCCTCGGTTGGTAGATTGTTATGCTCGATTGATATATCCGAGGAAGGTGTGGGGATGAGTTTTAGTGATTCGACAGAATGGTCTAGGCTGGTGAGCAGCGTATGAGGTGGCAGGTTAGACTCGGCTGGTGGAAGATGGATGATAAACAACTGTTTTTCGAAGAATGAATGGTTGGGTGATCAGTAATCATTTCAGTTTT